AAAAAAAAAAAAAAAAAAAAAAAAAACCAGCAAAAAGATTGTGTACAATTTTGTTATTTTTATTGTCCATTCATTTGAATAGAGTAAAAAAAAAAAAAAAAACCAGCAATATTATGTGTCCAGGTGTGCACCGGCATGTTCGTACACCAGCTCTACCCTTTTCCATAGACTAACAGGATTGATAAAGTACAAGCTGAATTAACTGGAAATTTACTAAATTAATCTTCGATGAAAATAAAGGAATACTTTTAGTTCTTCTAAATCAATTATTATAGGATGTTTGATGCCTTTACCACTTCCTTTAACTACACGTGTCACACTTTGGTGAATAAAATGAATACAATCTGCACAGGAGAAGTGTTTTGAAATAATATAAATAAATAAATGTGTTCTTTCTATCAGCTTAAGCATTTAGATGGGAAAGTTCAAAATTTGTTACCAAGTATCTAAGTAACCTTTAACAATTGGAGAAAAGTCAGATCAATTTCAGCATTTTCAACTTGATGACAATGATATATCAGTTGACAAGATACCCAAGCTCAAAGAAATACACTCTATTTGAATTTACTTCAAAGAATACACCAGCTTAATATTAAAATTGGTGCATGAATGCAGGTGTATAAACAAGAAGCAACAAGAATATCAGTAAACAATGACTCCGGATGGATACCAGAGAACCAGGAATAGAATATTGCTAATTAAAACAGCTGATTTGATGCTCTTCCACAAATTGAAGTTAGCAAACGTGTAAATTCTCCTAGGAAGAGATAACATACTTGATCAAAAGTTCAGATGCAAATAGAAGTTACCTTTCCCGAAGCATTCCGTACAGGTGCAATGTGAAGTAAATTCCAAAACGGAGTCTTATCTTTTCTGAAAACAAAGCAGTAACAAAAATATTAGCATCAGGGAAATATTAAGCATCAAACCGAGACAATAATTTTGAAGTGCGGTTAATAATCAACCTGTAATTTAGAATACATACTGTACATGGTTGCTCTGTTCGAATACATTCCTTTATCTGTTCAACATAAGCAAAATTAAAATTTTCCCATCATCAAAAGACTCATTATTATTATTATTATTATTTTTTTTTTTTTTTTTGGTAGCAGCAAACGATATCTCGTGAGTTAGAAGCAACAGATTCAAGATTTCAGTAACTGCTACATTATTGAAATAGTGGGAAAATCAGATAAAATAAAAAATGGAATTGGAAAGAAAAAGACCTGATATTGAGTTGCAGGATCTGTATCCAGCCCACTTAAAAATCTACAATTGTGCCCCAATACTTCATGTCTAGCATAGCCTATCCGAATAGGGGAAATTGATGGTTAATGAATAACTATATGATTGATAAATTACCATGAAAATATGTTCTTTTAATTTAATAATAAACTGGCAGATGGCAGCAAACTTCTCGTTTGAGACAAGGCAATACTTCATAGAAATGATATTGGGATAATATTAGTACCGGTTAATTCCAAGAACATGTCACTTGCATACACTATTGGCATGTCAGGTAAGTGCGGATCAGATCTGTAAGGTAACAGAGAGTGTTGCCAAGAAAGGATATGTTAAAAAAGTATGTTAACCTGAATTATTAACGAAAAAAATGACAAAATCCAGTTATTGAACCAACTCACAATACAAAGCTTTGTTTGATTCTACCAAGAGATATATTTAAGGACGAAACAAGACGTCCCGTCCCAGATAAGCAGCAGCACTTTCCACACACCAATTTGCCAGACAACTCACTATAGTGGGTCAGGATGGACAAAATATTACTAAGAGCAGCATTGGCTTTTCCCTTCTCTGTCTCACTTGCCTCACAAGGTTCATTAATTTCTTCTTCTGCAATATTTATATAAGTACTGTTTAAATGAAATCCTTATTGGACAATATAAACAAGAGCTTCACTGTGCAATAGAAGAATTCAAGTTTTTGGTCAAACAAGAAGGAATAATTTTATGGATTAGCCATCACATATCTACTCATAACTTCTGGACCAAGGAAACCATGACGATGACAAAGGTAAAAATAATCTATTCCAAAATGAGAAGCCAAACCTGTTAGGGATTAAGCCTTGGTCCCAATATTGAGAGCAATAATGAATGAAAAAGAAAACAGAAATACGTAAGCACAAACACACAGGTTTAGTTTTTAATTCCATGTGAAAACTATGACCATGAGTCACTTCATATTTTCCACTATAATGAAGAAAGAGTTTGTAAAGTTTTTCCTCTCACACACCTCTGTTTTATCTTACAGCAAAACGGGGCCATCAATTTCTTTTACATCATATAAGAAAATAGTGATGGTCGGTTCATGGTTGGATGGGACGAGTGCCATATATAATTAAGCTCCATGCAATCCAACAAACCCACACATCTCTTTTATTTTTAAAATTGATGATGAGATTAGAAAATATAGATACCAAGAGAAAATAAGACTACTAAAACTAGCCAAAGATATATTTGGAAATGGAAACTCGAAGAAGTTTACAGGTTCA